CTACTAGCAACAGCACACTGCTTGGAAGGCCTAAGTGACTGATCAACTATTACACCAAGATCCCTTCCTTTTATGACACTGTTAAGGTTATTCACATTCAAATTATACTTATAATTTAAATTATGGTGACTGATATGCATTATCTTGCATTTATTATAGATAAAACCCATTAGTTTTAATATTTTATGAACATAATGACACAGTAAAGCCCAAAGATGTAGTGTTGAAGTTGATGCAGATATATGATGCATTACTAGACAATTTCCCTAGTGTTTATCAATTTAAAAATGCCATCTCTGCAATGAAGAGTAAATATAAGAAGGATGGTATAATGTCTAATCCATATGTATTTCATCATGTCATATTTTCAATAATATTTAGTTGTTTTTGTTTTAGAAGTAGCTCCTTGCTTCATTCATTGAGATCTATCAAAACAACACTAAATAAGTGGTTTCTAGAATGACCTCCCTAGTGACCATTCTAGGCTCAGTAAAGATGCTCGTGTGGCAGGTGTTAAAAAAGATTTTCTTTACAAACTACGTGAATGTATGGTTACCTCCTCTGTAGGTGATTTCATGCTTTATATAAGAAAAAAATACCAACATGAATTGTACGACTGTATAGTTACTTTCTACTGGAAATCAAATGTTCATATTGTAGGTTACTTTATCTTCCAAAACCTTTCTCAATCTTTGGCACATTTATATATTTCATTATAACTATATTCTACATCCTGAGGAACATACATGAAAAATATCTTTTGTTTATGATTGTACTATACCAAAACAATCAATTTTGGTGGTGAAAGTATGTACACAAATATATTTAGGTGATCAAATGTGGATGTTGTAGATGTATTTTCACTGGGATTGGTAGTATTGATGCATCTTTGATGAGAATTGTAAGAATACGGACATGAATATAAACTTAGGTAAGGTAGGAGCCATTTTCAGCTGAGACAGCTTTATTTTTCAAACAGGGTGATTAGCCTTTGGAGTGGGTTGCAGTGGTAAATGCTGTTAATACAAATGAGTTTAAGGGAAAGCTTGAATGATAAGAGTTGGCTTTCAGTTCATGTTTAACTGAGTGTATAGGATGGACCAAGAGGTCCCTTGTTTTCCTTTAATGATACATTATATCACAAAGGGATGATAAACTTAGCAGCACACACCACTACACTTGTTAGAGATAGAGGATAATAAGATTATCATGGGTAGAAAATAAGTAATCATTTTGTACACAAGAAAATTTTAGTCCAACAATTTATTACTTTGAATCCACAAGAATATAGACATAAACATCTGTCTTTATTATATTACGATTTGTCATCATGTATTAACTAGAAAAGAACAACGTGTTTGTGGTAAAATTGCCAGGAAAAATCAGGGTATACATGTAGGATTCTTATGATTTTATTGAACATTATTACACTGCACTGTAGTATACTGTTACCAAATTTTTTCATGCATTCCATCAAATTCAGAGGTATGTTACTTAGTTTTAGTTCTTTTTTTGTTTAATATTTGTTCCTTTCAGCAAACATGCGTTTCTTTAAACATGTTTACTTTCCATAAAGCCTATGGATTATTGGCTGGAGCCCTTATTTCTAATACATAGCTATCTGAGTAACCTTTCAACTAAAATACACTAGGGAAATAATAATTGTAATTGATTTATATGCACTGTACCAAACCTTCTTAATCAAATTTAATATCTGTGTATAGAATTATTGTTCATTAACATACACTATACATACAGTGGTGTTCAGTTTTTGAAAATTGTTCTCCAAGGAATAAAATACTGCAGCTCAGAATTTTAGAAACTTGTGTGTCTCCCTAGAAATCTACTCAAACTGTTTTTCTAATAATAGAAGAAATGATGTAAACAAAACAAGAAACTACTTGTTCAACGGGTAATGTATAACGGTAAACCTTTATGCCCCTCAGACAAATCTTGTTGTTGTAGGTATTGGGCAATATGAATTCCACTCCTTCACAATATACACATCATTCATGTGTTTTTAATACAATCTTTAAAAAATCAAATTAATGGAACAGTTTTCAAATCAATTAAAATAAATTAATAGTATAAACATTGTAAGACATTAATTGTTCTGTAATACAGTAATATTTAGATAATATATAACTTTTAAACTATTAAATGGTAGTAAAAGAAAACTACTTTTTGAATTAAATATATATATATACAATTGTATACTTCTAACTCATTAATATGCTAATACTATCCAAAAATAATTCCAATTTTCCAGATTTTAAGTACACAACATGTTATTTTCAGGTGTTGCACTATCTGCAAGACACTGTATATGTTTTAAACATTTCTAGTAAATGCATAATAATTGAATATTTCCACATAGTAGATTGACAGCAGTCAAACCTGAGTCTCTTGAATCGTGAGGCAACCCTCCTTATCACCAGGCCAGAATCATTGAATAAAATAATAATAAGAATTCATATTGGCATTATTTCAATTAGTTGGTTGATTGATTTATTTTGTCACAACACTAATCGATTCAGCTGATGAAACTTGATTTGATCTAGAATAATAATGAGAAAACATAATTATATATTTCAGTTACTTGGATAGTTGAAGTAATAATTGGAAACTTCAATTAGTTGGTTATTTTCATGACATTAAACAGTATAATTATTATTTTGATTAATTGATTATCTCATGTGACACTAGTTAATGTGATGCACAAGTAATTGATTGTACTGTAATTGTAAGCATACAGTTTTTCTCCCAGCATAATACGAGAAACAACAGAACCAGGTACATTTAAAAAAATGGTTAAACTACTGACACATTTTTCTCAAGAAACGTAGGATTGTTAATACATGATATGGTAGCTAGTTAATGTTCACACTGGAAGCCCTTGGTAGGCCTATGAATCATGTAGAGCATGTCATACTGAAGAAAATTAACTAAGAAATTAAAATCCAACCTATTTGATTTTGCCTTGGGATTCAGTAAAAATGGCAAAGTAGGAAAAAAAATGATAAAAGTGCAGTATAATACTTTAAAAGGTACTGGTTAAATGCCAAAAGTTGACAAAGCATTAGGAACAAATAGAATCCAAAATGGACAAATTAAGAAGAATGTGGAAAGAAAAATATCTGTAGATTACATGATTTTTATCACGTATTTTAGGCTTGTTTGATTCTAATGTTTCACTAGCTTTTGGTATTTAAATCATAACATTTAAAAAATTATTCTGTATATTTAAATAGCATTTCAGAGAATCTTTGTTTCTTATCATCCAGCTCATCTGGATGAGTTCTGGCATTGAACAAAAGGCCCCTGGACATTGAACTGCAGGAGACAAAAGATAGATTGAAAAAACTATGCTTTAGATGCTTCTTATTTTGAATCTGAAATGGACAAATTAAGAGAAATGTGCTACAAATAATCTGTAGTTACTGTGATCTTTATCATAAACCTTTTTTTTAAGAGAAGCAACTGTATCACTTCTTACACTTTGTAATATTTATGACTGGTATCACCATTTTTACCATTGTTGTTATCACTAGATTTGTTTAATATTACCATCATCGTTATCACTGGAGTCGTTTAATATTACCATCGTCGTTATCACAGGTGTCGTTTAATATTACCATCGTCGTTATCACAGGTGTCGTTTGATATTACCATCGTCGTTATCGCTGGAGTCGTTTAATATTACCATCGTCGTTATCGCTGGAGTCGTTTGATATTACCATCGTCGTTATCGCTGGAGTCGTTTAGTATTAATATTATGTTTTTTCGTTTTCTGCCACAGTGGTGTTAAATGTTTAATGAATATTTTTATTACAGTTATTAATCTGGTTATTACTTCTATCCTGGAAAGTTTGTTGCAATACTTTTCTTATTTTTTAACATCCTAAATGACAAATAATAAAATTGCTATTCTCTATCTAACTATACTAATTAATCTTTTTGCCTTTAAGAGTTGCAAATGTAAAGATAAGTATATTAAAACTGCTTTATTTTCACCACCATAAACATCTGATTATTTCAGTAGCTATCTGAACCAGATTATGTAAAAATAGGACAGTGTATATGGGTGAATAAGCTTACATTTTAAACTTGTTTATTGTTGGATATAATAGATATTATGCTCTGTATATCCAACAGTAAACAGTCTTGCATGACAGGATACTTTATTTAAGCTTAATTACAGTTAAGCATACCAACTAATATATGTTTATTTGTATATTGAAATAACGATAGGAAGTTGTATTTGAGGTTAGGTTTAAGTAAGGAATACTTCAGCTCTAATGGATCTAGGTACAAAAAATACAAGTTTACACCAGAACATGATAACAGTAGCTTTTGTTGGTTTCCAAACATTTATTATTTTCACGTCAAACCCAGGACTAAAACTGTTGCTGTTCCAAACATGTGACTAATATTTTCTTTAACCTAAATTTTTTGATAAATTACACACGCATTTTATGAGTACTAATTCCCGTTCACTACATGTAGTTTCTAACACCATCTAACTTTCTGGCAGCATCCCTTGGAATTAACATGATCTTGTGAAAGACTGGACTGTTTATTATAGATATGAAATAAAAGTAACAAAAAAGCTTACAAAATTGGTGAACCCTTCAGTTTCATGATTGGTAGAAGTTTGTGTATGTGTTTTATGAATCTAACTGACCTGACAAAATTTTTTTGTTTGAGCTTGTTGCAAAGAAAGATGCATATTAAAATATTGAGCAAGATTTTTGTTTTTTTATCAAATGAATAATTTTAACTTTCTGAAGTTACAAATGGGTTACACTGTTTTATAGTTTGCTGTTTTTCTCTGTGTATCCATGATTTTGAACTTTAAGTTTATGATGGTGTGAAAACAATTTGATAAATGAATGAAATATTATTAATTGTAATTTAAAATTTAGTTTTGTTTGCTTTTTCTGTTTCCCCAAGTATTGAAGCTTCACTCCTAACTTCTTTACCTTTTTTTTATTCCATAGGCCAAAAAGGATTCAGTTTGACCTCTGTCAGGAACAACAAAGTTTTGGGTGCTGTCGGTTGTAAAAATTGCACATAAATTTGTATGCAAGACCACGTCAGTTTGTAACATCTGTGGCTGAGACTGCACAGTGGGTAAAATGTTACTCGGCAATTAAAGCTAGGAAATATATTTGAAGTTTTGGGATGAAATGAGTCTATTAAGTTGACTTTGTGAACACACTGCATTTCAGTTGACCGACTTTCATAACATGATTCTTTAACATAATTTTGATATCACAATGCATCGGTTCTATTATTATGTGAAGTAGCGTGATCAGGTAAAGCAATAATGTCTTTCTTTAGTAATTTTAAAAAGATTTTTAATATTGGAGGAAGTGTTGGAGGTGGAGAATCAAAAAGAAGACGTGTCTATCACAATATCAAATTTAATGAGAATCCAGAAGATTATTGGGAAGTTATTGGAGAACTTGGAGATGGTGCTTTTGGAAAAGTTTATAAGGTAAGAAGTATTACTTATTATTGTTTTTATATTTTAAAATACATGGTACAAAAACACAAAAACAACTAGTAATATATGAATAAATATCTCTAAACTGTTTTGTTTTGTAAGTTTGATGGATTTTAAGATTGTGTTGTTTACATACATCAATATCACATGTGGAGGTAACATTTTACTTGCAAACTTGCTGTACTCCCTAACAACAAAACTTACATTAGGCATAGTACCTATTTTTTCTTATATAATTGCTTTTCTAAAAGAAGTAAAAGATGAGAACACCAAGTGGTACTAGTACTACACTGGAAACACACATCTAAGTCTACATGAAAACTGAGGAAATGACAATTTCTTTGTAGGGAGAAAGTTTATATTGTATGAAGAATTACAAACCATGGTAGGGATTGTGAAAGTTCAGATTTATGAATGCTTATAACAACAAAAGTAAAGTTTTAAATATTTTTTAAAGGTTTGTTTTGAAATAAAGGAATTACAACTTAGATAACATAAAAACTTGTAATTATAATACATCATAATGTTAATTTTATTGACATATGTTCGTAGTAAAATTGTTTAATTACATTTTGAATGTTACTCAGTGACTTGTACAAAAAGGTGTTTAAAGGTGTTAATACCCCATTTTTCAACACATAGAAAAGAGGTAGTTAAAAACTAGCGAGTTACCTGAAATTTGTTACCTACATGAAAAAGGTGTCTTTTTACAGAATTGTGGGATAATTTTTTGAACAAAGTTAAATGTTAAGCTGGATAGACTCGTAAAATAACAACAATTTTAGTATGAAGTACCATCATTTATTGAATTATTATACAAATAATCCTGAATCTGTTTAGTAACTTGAACATGTTAACAGAAACAAATATTTATCTAAAGCTACTGTTGTATGACTTTACTTCAAAGATTTCATTTGAAAATTTGTGGATCTTTTGTTAGCTTTAAGACTAGTGTAAAAAGTCCCAAAAATATATTTATATAATTCAGACAACATCATAGCTCATTTGGACTGTTGTTTAAAATTTCCTTATCAAATAGTTTTTCCTTAATGCTCATCAACACACCTGGGGGTCCAAATGGACCCCAACAACTTTCTTGTTGTGTATTTTTTTACATAATCATTACAAATTTATATTAATTCATGTAATTGTGAAGTAAAAACCCTGGATCAATATGACACTATTGTTTTCCAAACAGGCAGATTGAGTACATAGCTATAATCTAATATTTATCTGGGGCCCATATGGATCCCATACTATCATTTAAAATCACTATACATGCAGTTTGCCCTGTAGCATATGAAAAAAAATTTTTAAACATTTATTTCACAATATAGGCTGTTATAGAGGATAATTCATCAAATTGGTACTGTGTCATCTGGTTTGTTAGCTTATGACAACAAGTGTTCTCTGTGATGGCTGCTTATAATGTCCTATTTTATAGAAACCTTGTTTAATAATTGTTGTAAATAACCAGTTTATTTGATTTTTAATCCGTAGCCTACTATAAAAGTATAAGGATACATTTATGTTTGGGTTTGGTTGGACCCAAGGTAACACACAACCTATACCTTCAGTTTTCTTTGAGTTGAATTCTGCAGTATTATGGTAATCTCATCATATATTGGTAGATAATGACTTGAATATAGGAGTATAATAAAACTTTATTTTTTAATACACTGTTTGTATAAGGAATGGTAATTTTGTGCTGGAGTTTGATTGGACCCCAGGTGTTCCACAGTTTAACTTTTCAGAGGTTTGCTGATAAGGGTTAAATTTTAGGAACTTAAAAAGTCTTCTTAATCAAAAATATTATACCATATTTTACTTCTGTAGCAAAAGTATTGTGTAGATTAAAGAAATGACTAAAGCAAGAAAAAACAAACATTTATATCAGTTTTTAAAAGTAGATTAAAATTAGATTTTACTAAAATTTTCCTCTATATTATGATAATCTTCACCTCAGAATGAAATAACTTCAGCGATACAAGTCCCTTCTTGATTAAAACTAGTTTATTCTTTCTTGATACAAACTTTTTGTAATACACAGAATTTCCATAGTCATTTTAAACTTAACAACCTTTATAACACACGCTATAAATCACAGTGATTCACACACTTTACTTACGGTGCCTACTGTTTGCTTTATTTAATAATATATCTCTTCAATCATGCTGGTTTTTCTCGTCAGGCTTATATACTAAAAAAGAGGGCGTCTCAAACAAACTAGAGTTGTTAGGAAAATTCATGATCCTTCGAGAAACTCCAGTGCACATGCTCCCAGCGTCGCGCGACTTCCAATGTCATAAAAATATTTTCTAATCTGATCCTCATTCTTTTTGTTACCTTTGACCATATATGAGAGTTTAAACTACTTGAGTCAAAGCTATTTGTGTGCTTATTTGATAACAAAGAACCCACATCACTAGTTTTGAGTGAAACTGAAAGTCAACCTGATAATGAGTATAGCTAATAAAATATACTGTTACTTGTAAAGATTAGAATGCATTATTTCATCAGTCGTGTACCTTTTTGTTAATGTTTTTTTTGAAGTAATTATTGTAATATCTCTTGAAGTTTATTCAGCTTAGGAAAGTTAGGTTAATCCTAAATACATGTATTAAGTTAACAATTCAAAGCAACCTCTATAGAAGTATAATAATAAGAAATAAAATTAGATGTATTAGAAGTTCTAACCAATACTGTTAGTAAAAGTAACAATAAAGAAATAATAGAGCATACCTTGTGTATATATTTATCTTTAAACACTGGGTTGTCTGGTAGTGTTCAGTTTCCCGAGGTTATTGTCAATTAAAGTATTAAACATGCCTAAGGTTGAAATTTTTAGTAAGGATTTGAATACAGTTACTTTCAAGGAAAGTTACTTTTTGTTTTGTTATTTTCATGCTCAATTGATTCAACCATATTCAGTTCAGTGATTTATTTTAACCTGTCTTTGTCAGCTTCAGATACGATATCTTACCACTTCTCACTGAATAGTTTTTCCCAACTTGTTTTGCCCTCTACATGTACATGATAGCTACATGATAGCATGCAAATGAGCGTGTGGCAACCCTCCACCAATACAAGTGCAACACTACTAGCTCGGCTGCCTCCCTCTATGTAGCTTAAACCAATTTCACTTCTCAATTGGCACTTGTGTTGTTAAGATGTGTTTTTTGCTCTTGCTTTTCTTTATGGAATGTTCAATCAGTTCCTTGTTTTTTATATGGAAACTTTACATTTGTTTTCTGAAATTTTAGTTAATACACATTTAGCATTATGTGTCTTTTATTCTAATACATGATTCTTTGGAGTTCCCTGTTTGGTCTCTTCTACTTCCACTTATAGTTCAGATGAATTCTGAGTTTCATGTTATAACTACTACCACTTCTTTTCCTACTACAGTTAACCTTACTGCACTGCATAGGCTTTGGGTCCACAATTGTTGGTGGAAGGTGTTTTGGCCTTGGTTTGCTGAGAGTTGTCTACCTTCATGTGGGTTTCTGATTCACCTGAAGATTATTCTCTCAAGCCTTGTTCAGGAGTACCAGAACAAGAGGATGAAGATTTTGACTGCTGGTTTTTTCCCCTTCCTGTGCAACACAGTCACATTTAGCTCCAGTGAAAGTGCTCAGGGCCCCTCATCCCTTCCTGGAGTTAATAAACCAGGTATGTGAGGTTTTGTTTTGTCCCTCATTTCCTATGACTATTCCCCATCCCTTTTAAGCGAGACACCTCCTTTGGGCCAATATCTCCCCCCCCATCTGATATTGGGGTCCATGCCAATAGAGTTGCAGATAATTTACATATTCAGGGGTCAGTATGCCTCAACCCTCGTGTAATATGGAAGCCCATGCTATGGCTTACCATAGGTCTGTGTTTCCTTTTATGGTCTCCCAGCAGTTGGATTCTCTTCTGCCTTATTGTGGTTTGGATCCCAATACTTTGGTGACATTTTCTCAACCTCAATTTTTCCTATATTTGCTACTCATTTTCCTCCCTTCTTCATTGCCTTTCCTCAATTCACCTTTTGTCAGAGGCTCTTCATCATTCCCCTGAGAGGTTTTCTGTGGAGACTCGTGCCCTGTTTGTTTGTTTTTAACTTGTCCTCATCCACCCTTTCCCTACACATATGTCTCCTTTGTTGTTAGGGTTCCCTTTTATCCCATGAATGTTTACCCCCAACCTCTTTATGTGACTTGCACATGGTTCCCTTTTTAAGGCAACATTTCTTTAAGAGTTTTCCTGACTTGTTATAGACCAGAGTTGAGTCTATATGTTTGCACATCTCCCTTTCCTCATTGGGTTCCCATTTCTCACAACCTTCTCTTGAACCTGTTCCCATATCTTGTCCCCCTCCTTCTTTTCCTTTACTCGTTCTTTACTACATGGATCTTCGAGGTTAACCATCAGTTTGTTCATTGACAGCTTCAGTGCCGCTAGTAGTCCCAGTGACTACATGGTGGATACGGGTCTGGTTGGGGCCAGGCTTTTGTGCCTTGTCACCATTTGGGAGTCCTTCACCACAGACTCTTGGGTTCTGCAGGTTCTTTCCAAAGGGCTCATTCTTCATTTCAGTTTCCTTCATTCCATATGCTTCTCCCCTCCTTGTGATCACATTTCCAGCTAGCATCTTTCTGAGGCATTTCTATATCTTCTTTACAAGGGTGCCATAGAACAGGGAGTTCCTTCTCAGCCAGGTTTATATTCCCATTTGTTTGTAGTCCCCAAGAAGACTGGGGACTGATGCCTGTTATTTAATCCTTGATTCACCATGGAGTCCTACCTATCTCTTTAATGGGCTTTCACTCTCAGTCATTGGATGATGAAGTTAGATGATTCGGATGCTTACCTCCACATTCCCATTTCCCCAGCATTTTCTTTATTTTGTTCCTCATGGTTGCATCTACCAATTTTAAGATAGTCTGTTCAGACTAGTTTTTTTTTTGTTGGGTTATCAAGGCCTTTGCTTGTGTTATCTGTTCTAG